GGGAGACACAGCAGGAGCCAAGAACTCAGGGAAAAGAGCAAGACTTGTGCCTGGGTAGACTGTGAAGGTATAAGAGCACAGGGTTCCTTTGTTGGGGGTTTCTCCTCAGAGACACCAGCCCGGGCTGATTTTGGGTTACTGCACTGTGAATAAATGGTTTTATGGAATGAGACATCTCAGACTTTCCTATGGGAAACCTGGGGCTAAACTGCCCAGGAAACCTGGTCTGACTGTGAGTGGGGTGTGCAGGGCACCCGTGGGCTCACTGGAGCTGTGGAGGGGCTTTGGTCCCAGATTGCCAGAGTCTTGTGAATGCTCAGACCAGGCAGTTTCCTTAACAGGTCTACAAATTCCTGTTAGGCTTTCAGCACACATTTGGTTTCCTGATGATCCTGTTCCTCCTAAGTGGGCCAAGTAAATAGATTCACAAAACCACTGCATAATAGCAGTACAGTGGGACACTTACCCTCTCCTTTGCCCTAACTAAAGATCTTCAAGTCACTGAAAAAAGTAGGAGGGCAAAGTGTCCCAAGAGCAAAGAGACTTTAAGCTAGTCCATAAGCAGGACAGCTACTAATATGGTTATAAAACATGCAGGTTATGGATCTTGACATGCTTAAATACATTCTCAAGGTTTCAGTAGATATAATTCTGAGCCCGTGTCATTCCTGAACAACCTGGATACTGAGTAATAGGTAGGTTTCCTCACAGAGGTATTACTGTGACTTTGTAATACCTGGCTGAAGGGGAGTTTTTTGCAACACCTCTGTGAAACACTGACTTTCTGGTGTTCTCTGGGGTTACAGAGCTCTCCAGTACCTCTCACTGTAATTCATTTCTCAATAGAATAGTATTATTCTGTACTGTGTGAATTGCCTGAGGCTATGCAGTCTGAAAATACAAGACTGCCCTTTGTGCAAGAAAAAACAGAAATGAAAGAAGAAATTTCAAAGACAGTTCTTTCCCTGTGAATTCTCCTCTAACAGTTTCTTGACAAACCAAAACTGACCTGAATGTTGAAGATCTGAGGTGTATACATCTACACTGGCATGTATAGGACTGCAATGCAATGTTGAGATAGGCAAGCTAACTTTAATTTAAATAGCTCAGATACTGAAGTAGCATTGAGAGCAAAGTATCACCAGTTTATAAACAAATCCTTAGTCAGGAACTACAAATCTCAGAGGAGGTTAGAATAACACTAGGTAATGTACCAATTTTGCACCTCTGTTGATTTCATTTATTACTTTTTCATGCTACAACCTTAAATAGATATAAAAAACATGCTCACTCTTCTTCAAAAACTCCAAATAAAGAAGAATGCTAATTTGTATTCCTTAGAGATGCAACTTAGTTTTCCAACCTTTACTTTTCAGCAGTCAGTGGAGCTACTTCAGTATAGCTAAAGAATTGATTTTCAGGGGGTCCAATGAAACCATCCTTGGTGCCTCCAAAGTCCTGTTTTCTGATTCTTTGCTATGTCATTTTCACTGGAAATTGTCTGCTGTAGTCCTATAGAATTACCATGTCAGGCCTGTGCTTCATGAATTCTTGTGGTCTGCAGCTGGCATAATCCAGCCAAGGCTGGTACTGGCATGCCACTCACTCAATATCAGGTTGTGGCACTCACATCAGACAGTCTGCACAGTCCAGAGTAGAGTCATAGAATCATAGAACAGCTCAGGTTGGTAGCAATCTAAAAGATCACCTCATTCCAATCCTTCTGCCATGGAGTCCATGCCACATGGCTTTGAACACTTCCAGGAATGGGACATCCACCACTTCTCTGGGCAACCTGCTCCAGTGGCTCACCACCCTCACAGTCAAGAATTTCTTACCAATATCTAGTCTAAACCTACTCTCTTTCAGTTTGAAGCCATTTCCCCTTGTTCTGTCACTACAGAGGCATGTTAAAATTCTCTTTCCATATTTCCTGTAGGCTCCCTTCTGGTACTAGGAGGCCTCAATTAGGTCACCCCAAAGCCTTCTCTTCTCCAGCCTGAACAATCCCAGTTGTGTCAGCCTTCCCTCATAGGAGAGGTGCTCCATCCCTCTAACCATCTTGGTAGACTCCTCTGAATCCACTCCAACAGGTCCATGTCCTTCCTGTCCTGGTACCCCGAGCACTACAGGTGGTGTCTCACAAGAGCAGAGCAAAGGGGCAGAATCCCCTCCCTGGCCCCGCTCCCATACTATTTTGCATGCAACCTAGGGTATGTTTGGTTTCTGGGCTGCCAGTGCACACTGCTGGGTCATGTCCAACCTCTCATCCACCATCACTCCCAAGTTCTTCTGGACAGGGCTGCTCTCTATCTGCTCATCCCCCAGCCTGTACTGACCTCAGGTCAGCCCTTGTCACTTCTTGGTTACTCCCATAACTAAGGATTTTAACTGAAAACACAGAACAAGCTTGAACACTGAGAAAAAACACATTTGTTTAATTATATATAAATACTGTCATCTGTAATAATCAGATAATGGGTATAACAATAACATGAATATCATTTGAGAAACTAATTTTTCTTCCCAGCTGTGCAATTTATACCAGCTCAGTTGCTTTACTTAATTTGGCTAGGATTATCAGTAATTTATAATGTCTTAAGATGTCTGCAATGACACTGGAGTGGATATCTAGGTCAGGCCCAGTTCAGATGGAACTCATTCTCTAGGGACTGTGAGAAAGTCACTGCAGAGTCACACATCCAGCCCATGGCTTTCACAGCTTGTGCTATAACTTCACTGGGGAAGATGTGAATTAATGCCTCAGTCTACTCTCCACATGTACAGAAAAGGACGATTTGTTCAGTTTATTTAAGTTCAGCTTCTTGCTCTCAGGATCACTATTGCATGTGAAAAGTGACATAAAAAGCAGTTCCACATATACTTTCCTGCTGTTGTTCAAAATATCTGTGCTGTGTTGTGTTCAAAATGTCTGTGCTCCTCAGCTGGAAAAGGCTTTCCTCAGGAAATGTCTGAATACAGCCAAATAGAAAATAAAATGGGGGTGGAAATAAGGTCTGTGTGTCAAGGAACTTTTCAACTATCTTTCCTGTAGTGCACCATCCACAACCAAAAATTTAGAAAAAGGACTAGGATAGTCACAGAAACTTTTTTAAGGTCTATTAACACAGAAATTCAGTCAGATCTGCTGACATGAAACAGCTAGAGATGCTGAAGCCCTTAATAAACGGCTTCTCCTGATGAGATTTACAAGAACTCTTGATCTGCCATCATGCTGGTTGCATCTGTCACTTGCACCTGGTATGGATATCTTAGTTAGACATCATATATGACTTTTATGTGGTCCAGCAGGACAGCTGGAATTACTTCACCTTTGTGTGAAGACCTTTAATAGTTAAATGTGTTTTATAAGATTCATCTGTGCCATTGCTAGCATCGTTTAGTGTTGGATTCTCCTAAAACAACAGTAGGTCTGAAGCAGTCTCATCCACTGGCGATGCTGAGCTCTCACATCTAGTATTGTAAAATTATCTGTGTTTTTTTCCTCCATTTTACAGGCTGTCATGTACAGAGTTGGTTCAAGGAAGGGAGATCCTCTGGGGACCTATTTCAGCCATTATCTGAAGCTTGTATTTGATTTAGGCATTTTATATGCCTCTCTTTGTGGACCACCTGCATTTCAGAGAAGCCTATTTCTTTACAGATGTTAGAATAGATGAGCATATGACCTGAGGTTTCCATTATACATTATTTCTTTCTTTGTTCTGATGCTACTGTCACTACAAACAGTCCTTTTATCATATGTCAGTACCCCAAAGCAACAAAACCTCTTTGTTTCAAAACCAGCTCAGCCTGTGTCAGCTTGGTCCCCTTCCCCAGCAACAGCTCTGTCTCCTAAAGGCTCTCCAGGTCCACATAGAAGTCAAGAGACTGATTAAATGCTTCCAGCCAGATATGATCCAAAAGAGAGCCGTACAGACTGGAGCCGTTGCATAACTTAACTAAGATGAGTAGATATCATTACCAGGGCAACTTTCTGCAAATGAAACTAAATACATTTATCAACATGGCACAAGATTTGGACCTCTCTACTACAGATGTTGTCCACAAAAAGTCAGATTGTCCAACTGGTTACATGGAACTGACCACTTTAATTTAAGCAGATTTAAAATGTAAGAGCTTTAATTCCCATGTGTGATAATAAAGGTAATTTTCAGTTCCTCACTGAAGTTATTTGCTGCAAGGTGAGATACAACTGTTTTTTAGTATTCAGTGCAGATACACAAAAAAAGAACTTTTACAAATATTTAGCAAGTCTCCCAGTCTATGATTTTGGGGGTGTGTCATTACCATGATTCACTCCCTAGATTTATGAAGCACTTACTCTTTAACATAACAAAATAATCAGGTATGTCACTTGTAATTGATAATCAATACAATTATCTATAAAGCAAAAACAGTGGATCTAAATCATCTGCCCATTCCTCCACTTTTCTTTTAAAGTTATATTTCAGCTATAATATTTACATCCCTGCAAAAATGCTATTGAATTTCTTTATCTAGAATTATTATAAGATGAATAACTTTTTTCTGTAATGTGTTACATATTAGGTCAGAGTCTAATAGCAAAATATTAAAGACATTATTCTTCCAGATGAATAATGACCTTATCATATTCCCTTTTCCCATATTCATAGGCCCTTAATAATACTCCTTTAAATTTATGTTCCTTCAACGTAAATTCCTGATGCGGTCCTCCATGTAGTACTATAAACCAGTCTGTGACAATGAAATGCTGAATTTTTCCTCTCATATAAAGGTTCTTCTCCTATTGTTTCCCAGTTTGAATTATTTCCACGACTCTTTTTCCCTTGCACACTAGCTTAGTGAAGTCTGAAAAGGATTTACTGGATACCTTTGTTTCTATCAGGCCTTTTTGTAGCTGTCCTTGTTCTTTACTTTTTATCCTCTCACAGTCTCTCATGGACATGCATTCAGGTATAATTTTTATTCACTCAGTGAATCCTTTGTTTTGCCAGGGGAAACGTAAAGAAGAGTTTGTGTCAATGAGAATGTGATGCTGGGTGAAAATTCAGCACAAAGCAAGCAGAATGGGAGGAAGTGGAGATTGAAGAAAGGCAGCTGGAAGCACAGGTGAGCTGTGGAGGGGTCAGTGCTCCACAGAGGTGATGGTGCATGATGGTGAGCCAAGGCAGAGCAAGCGTGACCAGAAGGGCAAATACGGCTAAGGCTTGCTGGATCCTGCTGCTCCAGAAAAAACAGTGGTGGAAAAAAAGGTGGCAGTGGTTGAAAAGAGCTCAAGGGAAAAAAGCCCAAGGATAGCTGGAGGGAGTGGGGAGAGGGAAGAGTGATGACAGTCGGTGCGAAAATCTCTTAAAGTCTTGGCTCTGGAAGGCCCTGACTAACCCCTTCCATCTTCCCACTCACATGGGCTGAACCTGGCTTTCTCTTCCAGCTGGCCTTTTCCATTGGCTAGAGCTTTTACTGACATGAACAGTTTGTTCATTACTCATTTTCAGGAGTAATTTAAATTTAATTTTCAAGATGTCTCTCCCTCATTTCTCTCCAAAGAACACTCATGAAAGAGTGAACAAACTGATGTACATTTCATTAGGAAATCTACTCATCTTACTGTCAACATCAAAGGAAAACTTCCATAAAATTCAAATGTCAGTGTAATGAGCCCCAACAAAAATGTATTGAATAAGATATCTGGGGCCACAGGTGAACTAAAACAGGAAAAAGAGAGGGAGACATGATAAAGCTCTCAAGTATCCATAGAAAATATGTGCAGCTTTAGAACCCACATGCAATAAGTCTTCAAAAAAGGGATATTGTTCAGCTTTGCTGAGCACTTCCAGAGCATTTGGAAATGATACATGATGCAAGAGCAAGGAGGGAGAGGTATCCATGTGCAATACGGTTATAAACCTGACAGATCACTGTGGTGTTGAGAAAAGGAAAAGAAGTCCAAAATGAACAATTTTTTTTAGAGATATACTCTCTTAAACTACCCATGCCAGGTTAGCAGCTTTGGAAGAAATAATACACTATTTCATGTCCAGGATATTGTGATAACCTGCAAATTTATCTGGTGACTGACACAAACTGTAGAAAAAGAGAACATGCATGACTCTGGAAAACCTATTGATGAAAAATTAACAGTGAGAATTAAACATTAGCAATGAAAATTAAAAGCAATTAGCATGAGAAAATACTTCATTTGACTAAAATAAGAGATATTCACATACTGGAAAAGCTAATAAAAGTGGGCCAGCTGTGAAACTATTCTTTCCAGTCACCTGGCTTTCCAGCATGTCACTGAACTTCTTCAGAATGTATATATAGTAATTTTTACATCCTTCTATGAAAAGATGAAAAATTATTAACAGGGTCACTTCTGAAATGCAGCTGACATTAGTTTGTGGGGATCAAACAAAGGAGACAGAAGCATAGCTACTGACAAATTGAAAATATTTTGAATAAGGTTGTATTTGAAAAATATACAGAACCTGTTACATGAGCAAATTATCCCTTAAATCGTATCAGGTGAATAAAGCAGAATACCAGTCTTGTTTCCTTGACCACAGCTCTTCTAGCACTCCATCACTCAAAGTACTCTAGATATCTCAATGGACATAAGTTTTGCACACTATAAATCTCAACAGTATAAAAGTTCTCTATGTAGTCATTGTAAATAATAGCCAAAACAAGCAAGAGTAATATTAATAATAACTATAAATAAATTAACCTTTTAAACTTGGATAGGATTTTGGATTTGACAGAGAAAAGATAAATGGAGAAATAATGACTCTTTACTGAGCTGAGTAGAAGTGGTCACTTATTAAAGCAACACTTTCAACAGGTCTTGCTGAACTAGTAAGCCTGGCAAACTTTAAGAAAAAGCATATTTTCCCAAACCCTCAGAAATTTGTTAAAAATGTTTAAAATTCCTTCTACAAAACATCTATAGTTCCTTATCAAAATTATTTCAAAATTATGCATTCTCTGAAGCTTTTCTCAATATTTAAGTAGAAAAATACTTAGAGTCTAAGATATTCCAACTTAAGCTCCTTTATCTATGATTTCAGGTAGAGGATAAGAGCTCTTCTGTATGCAGTTTTTCTGCCAGAGAAACTCAATGATGAAAAGTGATGGTAGGGAAGATAGCTCTGTTGTGTCAGAAACGATTAAAATGTGAAAAGCGTAACTATCCTGAAGTCTTTTGAAATCTGTGTCTCTCTTACATTTCTCCTTACCACTGCCAGGAGATAACTCCTCAATGAGTAGCTGTTTTTGACATGAGATTCAAATTATACTTTGGTTCTTGCTTTTTAGAGCTCACACTAAATGCAGTGTGCCTTCTCTTAGAGTGATACTGATGGGAAATTCGTGTAAAAAAACTGACTTCTAGAAAGGACTGTATTTCAGCATTAGAACATTTCTAGCAGGTTCATTCACTGCCTACAAGGAAAATATTTTTACTAAATGCTGGCTCTTTGGACAGTCAGGCTTCCTGGTTCCTGGCATACCATATGAACTGCTAAGAGGGAAAAGGCTGCTTCCATGCCCAGTGAAAAGGGCTTTTCTTTTTAATGACCTATCTCCAAAGTGCCATGAAGGGACTTAGATTCATAGGATTTCAGTACCAAAAAGAAAACTTCAGAATTATACAGACAAGTTTCCTTTGGCTCTTAGATTTCATGTGCTTATTCCTTGGTCAAACCAAGTAAATGCAGCTTAACAAAAGCATAGGACACCATTTGCTCTTGTGTTTACTACTTCCATTTCCCTGTGGCTTACTTCAGACCAAAAGAACCATAGAATAGCAGTAGATTTCCATATGAATCTTGCCTCCCTTTTCTAACTGGAAGAAAAGTGATAAAGTTACAGCTGCATTGAAAATGACAGAGGAAGGTATGATAATCTTTTAAGCATGGTTTAAGGAAGTATCTCTAATTCTGCTCACAGACTTGACTAGCACAAAACCTACATATGTGAATCTGAATTAAAGCAAACTTAATCCAGGGACTTCATGGAGTTCTTCCATAACACAAGGTATTTGTTTTCTATTTCATTTTGCAAAAGCACTTTATAGTACCAATTAAAAAGTATGTTCCATAGAAATGGACATGGAAGAAACCTCAGAAAAAGTCAAAATCAGTTTAAAACAAAGGTGCAATCTAAAAGCACAATCAAAAAGTACTTGAAAAAATAAATTACAATTTAAAATTAGTGAATACATAGATTACTAAGCCCCTTTCTTGTCTAATGCACTTATTTTAAAGACTGTCAAGATTATATTTTTTTCCCCCAATAACTAATGAACTATAAGGGTTACAGCACTAGGTTATTTTGCTTACCTTGGGTATTTAGACCTTATAGAGACTTCTCTGGGATATTTGCATCAGGAAAAAAAAATCATTCTGGATCCAGATATTTCTTCATAAGCTATAGCCACTAGCAAGGAGCACATTATTACTCAGTTTTGCTCAGAAGGTGTTTTTCTCTCTTGTCTTCCAGTATTCCCTCTGAGCTCCGCATTTGTGACTATTTTATCTTCAGATTTGACCTTTGTCTGATTCTTTGGTATTTCTTATGCCTCTTTCTTCCCTTTTTATCTCTCTCACCACAAAGACACAGGCAGAAAAAATATGATAAATAGACATATAGAGTTGTCCTGTGTCTTTCCCTTCTTCCCTTTGCCATGCCACACTTCTTAAATCCAGGTTACCCTGGACCTGCCCAAAATAATTTTCCATTGCTCCTTCTTTTGTTAGAGGAAAAAAGAGGCAATTGTTGGGCCTCTCATTTACTCAGAAGAAGATGTGGTTTTCCTTTTTGAAGGTCTCAGCACAGCAATGTGCTGCCCAGCATCCCTCAGTGCTGAATGTATTGCTTTACTTTTGCAAGTTAGCTGTAACTTCAGGAATCTTAACTGCTTCATGAATTTAGTCTGATGCTAATTTTTTTAAGTTATTAAGAAAAATGGACTATTAAACTAAGCCTTGTTATGGATTTAAAAAAAATACATTTAATCTTATGGTAAAAGCTGGTTTAAGACAGAAATAATGTGGTAATAGTAACATGAAGGTATTTCAGTTAAAAATAACTAGAAACAACCATGTCCTTATCTTATGTAAATGTTACATTGTGAAAATCCTCTCAGGCTTAGTATGACTTAGCCTGTGTAACATTTCAGCTGTTATATTTCAACAACAATAACAAGAAAAGTGTAATCTTAACAGATCTTATCAAATAACCACAATCCTTCCACACTCAAGGACAAAGTAACTCCTCATGAATGCTACATAACTCTGTATGTAAGGGTTCTTCTGGGGTTTTGGAACTTCTGTCTTCTCTTTTCTTCCCTTTCTGAAGGAACAACAAAAGTATTTGCTAAAAAATGGCCCAGTCTAAGTTCCTGGGAGCTTAAGAACACTGTCTCCTTGTGGATTACAACTGGCAGCTGTAAGGTGTAAAGTTTTACAATTTACAGTGCTGGAATTTCTTCTTCATTTTAATCTCCACCACTCAAACCCCTTTAGTTTTCTTGGCAAGATGTGAAACTTTAGATTACTAGTTAAATAGAATGTTCTGCCTGCAAATATTATAATGTATTATGGACTAGAGGGAATGTATAGCAAATGAATGCAAAATACATTAATAGTGTCTAGTTTGGGGAGAAAGGCTGAAACCCCAGGAAATTTTAAGCAGTTATAAGAAATGTCATAAGGATGAAAGATCATTTTAAATGTGAACGAATCTTTTTTTATAGAAAAATCTTGATACAGTCAGTGTAGAACTAGCATACACCTTTAACAGAATGGACGTATTTCTCCATTAAATTATTTAGACTGAATTTAGATATCTCTGGAAAGTAGTTCTATAATATTTTACAATACTAATTTTATCAGATTGAGTAATTTAATTTCTGTGGCATTCTACTGCAATTGTCCCATTGGATTAATTTTCATTATGTTTTTTAATTATTGTTTACAACAGCTGGGCCACATCATCCCTGTTGGTGCTACAATCCTCAAAAGAGTTTTAGAAGACAACTTGGTAAGGACTTCTTTGGAGAGAGATGCAGGCTCCAGTTTTCTTCAGTCAAAAAAAAGCCCCAGTTTTCTTCAGTCAGAAAATGCATTGAACTATTAATTTTTTCAAATTGTTAAGCTTATAACTATGTCTATTTCATGCTTGCTTTGGCCTCAGGCAAGTCTTCTGGCTTATTGGGAAAGTTACTGTATTGTACCTGTGCTGTATGGGGTTTCCTCTGGCTCTGCCTGACCTTAATAAAACCCCAAAGAGGCAGAGAAGAAATAGTAATACCAGGACCCTAAAGCACTTGTGTCTAGAATGGACGTTTGCCAAATCCCTAAGCCCCATCCTATTCACTTCTCCTTTAGCCTGTTCAATCTTTCTTTAATTCCCATATAGCAATTATGTCTCCTCCTGTCTATCCTGTGTAGTATGTACTACACAAATGACTGTGTAGTACAACCCACTGTGTAAAGAACATCTGAGTGGAGATGCCATGTGCAACAGCAGGTATTCAGTGAGGGTATTTCAGTGGAAAAACAGACACACCTGTGTCCCCCTTCTTATTTTAGGAGACATAGAACCAACCATTTTCTACATGTCTAAACTGATGGTTAACAGACTGTGCTGATCCAGCTTTACCTTCATTTAAAGGAATGTTCCAGTGAGGTACAATTTGGGGTTACTGAAATGGCCAAAAAAAGGCCACTGAAAACAGAAGTTCAGAGACAGTGGAACAAAACTGTTATCAGTCATTAGGTTTTGCACCCCTCTGTTCTCAGATATAAAATAGATACAAAACAGTCACTGTCTTTGGTAAAACACTTGACTCACAAACCTTTTTAAAAATACCTTTCATAAATTAGCTGTGGCTTCACATCTCAGATTTAATCTGTGTCTCTGCAACTGCTCTCTCAAGGCTCCTCACTGACACGTTTGGTCTCTCCCTCTTCTTCAGCCTGACTGCTGTGCTTCTGCACCAGTCAGGTGCAGAACACAATGGACCATAACATATGGATAAAATTTCAGCTGCATTTGTAATTTTGTCATCTTTACGAGATGAAGCAACACCTTGACTTTGGTTTAAAACTCACTCTTCTTTCATCTTATGCTGGTTTAAAAAACAAATGGAGAAGCCTCTTCAATCAAAGAATTACAAAACACTACATACAAAATGCTTCACTCCAGTATTTTCAGAAAACTTAACACTTACTTAGACAACTTTGTGTTAGCAACATTTTCATGGCTATTGCATTTGAATTATTGAGTTCCTCCTTTTAAACAAAATCAGTTTACCCTATATTTTGTAGAGATACTAAAATCCTATGGATTTTGTTGTCCTTAGTCTGAGAATATTCCTTCTACAGACTACCATAAAAATACCCAATTGCAGCTGAGTACACTGTGGTATCAGCAAGAAGTTGTGCACTGCTAGGAAGGCAAAATACATTAAGATAAGTCATACATTTTAAACTTTGTAAGCATATGTGCTCTCAAACATAGCTTACCCTCTTTTTCACCAGCTGGACATCTGTAGTTAGCATCATGGTAGTTCATACATTATTTGTAATTGTGCTCAGCATGGAGCTTGAGCTTTACTTCAGAGCTAAAATGAACACATTTGGATTTCACTTTATTATTAATGCCTTTTAAAGGGCATGGATGAGACATTTTGCAATTTCTCTCAGAGGCACAGGACAAATTACAGGGACTAGTATAGGATGATTAGTTAAGCAGGACAGTTTGCAAATGGTTTCCAATTCATGGCAAACATCTTGAAATGGTTATTAATTACAAACACTTCAATGTTTGTATTCTTTTCCCAGAAGTCAATTATTGCTGCATTTACAGTGTTCCTCCCACCATATGCAGCCATTTGCTGACTAGTACTCCTTCAGAGTTTCAGATCAATTGGAGTCAATGTTATGTGGCTTGGTCCCCAGCCCACTTCCCAGATGAAGTTTGGAGGCAGGTGGAACTTCAAGTGGTGACCTCTGCTTCCTGTGCACTGCTCTATAGTCATACAAGGTTTAACAAAAGCACAGCACTGCAACGAATGTAAGTATTTCAAGGAGAAAAAATAAAATATTTTTTCTGCATTGTTAGCTTGGACTAATTTGGGAAGGTTTCAGATAACCAGCTGCACAATAAACCACTTGAGTCTAGAAAAAACAGTGTCTATCAAAAAGGGTGTGCCTCTTTTACAGATTTATAATAGTGTTGGAACATTTCTGCTGAAATGCTGTCCAGTGTAACTCCAGGTGTTTGGCCGCATCTGTTGCTTACCCAGATGAAAATTGTGCATATTTAATAAAATATGCTATCTGTAATTTCATTTTGTGAAAGAAATTCATTATTAATTTCTAAATTATAAACTCCAAGATTTAGCACATGAAAAGGTATAGAAGCATGCTGGAAAGTATTTTCTCTGTGCAAAATGCTATCAACAGCTTATTAGCAACCCATAGATTCTCCATACAGCTGTCATCCTCACTTCCCAATATTATCTCAGAAAGAAAATTGTATCACAAAATTATGACACCATGGACAAGATCCATGACTTGCACTCAGATATGTTTTGTTGCAGCTTTCTGACTATTTTCAAAATCTGAAATGACAGATGATTTAGTAGATGGGAATACCTTAGTCAGTATAAACAGTGCTACCATTTCAATCTCTTTCTGGAACAAAAGACTTTTCCAGGCTACTTTTCTTTTTCCTTGTCCAGTTAGTATGTTTATTTATATCCCTACCCAGAAGGCATGATGGCACCCACTGTTACATTAGGTTCAGTAGCTGGGACTGTGATATTTGCCTAGGACACCTCAATAGATTCAAGATTAAAACATCTGATATGCTGCATCTCTTCCAGGCATATTTGATGTCATGCAAGGCCTGAACAAAGTCTTTTGGTATTGGTAGAGCCCCAGGAATAAAAGGAATTTAATAACATTCTGTTCAGGACAAAATATGTTAAAGAATTGATGTTGCCTTTACATTCCCATTTTGCAGCTTTATTCTTCTACATGTTCCTATTCCCTTTTAAAGTGATAAAAACAAAAATCAAGGGACAAGAAAGAATAGAAAAAAACAAGTTTGTTTCTAAATCCTGCAATTGTTGCATGATTAAGAGATTAAGGTTCATGAATGATTCCACATCTTAATTTCAGGTTAGTCCTTTATCTGTGCATTAACTCCACTCTGTTTCATCCAGCATAAAATAATCTTCAATATTACAACAAGGGTACTTGAAGATTATTGTAGGATGGCAAAGAAGATTTCAAATATGCAACACCTCTAAAGAGCTAGCAAATGGTACCTGGGGCAGAGCTGCATCCGCAGGATGATTCCATGCTGCACGCAAGGTGTGCTTGTGAATCTGCGAGTTTGTTTGGCTTGGTTTTGTTTTCTCAAAAAAGAAAATGGTCACAGCAGGGAAGAGGTAAGGAACATTTCTTTAAAGAACCTGTAAGGAGGGTTTAGTGGAAAAAAGCAGTGTTTTTGCAGCACACTTTTCTGCCCACAGGCTGGGCACACACGGGGCATGTGAGTGGAAAGGAGGTAATTGCTTGTGTCGGCCGCCATCCTGGGGTGGAAGGTCAATGCCATTTTCCTTTTGCCCTTCAAGCCTTGAGGCCGCTCCTGGGGCCGCCATTCTGTGGGCAGGGCTGGCCGATGTCACCCTGATTCTTAAGATTTTCTAAAGCCTTCTGAGTTTACATTCTGTTAGAAAACTTTCCCACACATTTTCTATAAACAACATATTGTTTTGCATTCCTTCGTGGGGGTGGAGGAAGTTGATGTACTGGTGGTTTGTCCAATGTCTTTGGAGAGGTGGCCCATTCACTCTCCAATCCACTGTCACCTTTGGAAAAGTATAAAAGTTAGAGTCAAAAAAATAAACCTTCTTCTTTTTTACCTTACCATCATAGTGGCTCGTGTTGTGCTTTCTTGTGTCCTACAACAACAGGCCACCATTTTTCCTTTTCTCCCTGCATGCCGCTGGCAGCCGGAGCCGCCAGCTCGGGAGGGCAGTGCCCCACCAATTTGGGTAACTTTGTTCTCAGGGATTTCCTGAGATTTAGCAGTTTTGTATCTAGATATTATTTACTGGCATTTTTTGCCTGCTGCAGTTTTTCTTATCAGTAAACAATTTGGTTATGAGGGTTTTGTTTTCACTTTTATCTGCTGGTACCTCTTCCTTATTGGTGGAAGAGGATTGGTTGGAACCAAGGAGAGGTAACTTGTTTTAGAGCGTTTTTTTAAGTTGTCTTAAACCACGACAGATTGTTACTGCCTCTTCCTTTCAGGATGTGACTCAAGACCCTTCAGGGCTTTCCATGAAACACTGTAGAAGTTAGTGCAAAAACACTGTTCTAAGACACTGCAGTTACTTTAGATTGATAGTCTGCACTTAGATCAGGAAAAAATCCCAGTAATATCCAATAATACCCCATAATAAAATAAAATACCCCATAATACAAGTTATTATTGAGTAAATTAATTTCAAAGTCATCAAAGACATTTTAAAATAGAATTTTAAGTCACTTTTAAAATTAAATAACTTAAAAAATAATAAATAATAATAAGAAGAAGCAAGACTGTTCCTATTAAGCTTCCCTTTCAGACTTTCACATGCCTGCTACTGTTTAGGCAATGAATATTCATTAATATAAACATGATTTGTAACATCTGTATACCAGTGGTGGAATGCTAGCAAGGCATTGACTCTCTCCTTTGTTTGAGATATATATATTATATAAAAAGAGAAAGTTTCCCTTGTGATCTTCTCCAGAGATGATTTCACACCACAAGGTCTGGCCTTAAAAATATTCTAATGTCTATCATATGACTCTGCAGGAGCAGAAATTGAAGAACAGAGTTTCTCAGCCCACAGCCAAACTTTTCTACCTTGCCAGAAAACAAAAAATAAGTTTAATTTGTGAAACTATTTTATAGCCTATCTTCTGTAAAGAAACCAAAACAAATGTAGACTGCATCTGGGTTTGTG